TAAACAATCCTGTCATGTGAAAAGTGTAGTAAAAACAAAACAAAAAAAAAAAACAACAAAAAAAAAACCATTATGGCAATGCTCTGTTGTGTAACAATTCCCTTCAAAATGGAACATTCCATTTTGGAGGGAAACTCAATAGGACTCAAGAATCTAAGGAAAGGTGTCTTAAGATTCAGGAAGTACAATCTCACAAGGCTCAAGAGAACCCAGAAACTTAGCAGAGTTGCAAGGCCTCTTCCTCCCCAAGACTAGTATAAGTAGTAAGGACTGATGAGGAAAGAGACTCTCCAACCTGCAAAGCTGTCCCATATCATTTGGCATCCCTGGGTTGCAGCTTTGATGAGTTGTCAGCTATATTGGAATGGATTTTTGTGATGGAGCTGCCTTTGAGTCATCCAAGCTCCTGCAAGTAAACCCTCACCCATACTCCTGCAGGTAATTACATTAAAACTCATTGGTTTAAGTTGGATTTCTAGTGTCAATACTTTGGTCTGTTTTAGTTCTTATCTGCATCGAGTACACATTTGTCCACCCCTCCCCAACAGAAGTTTCTAACACAAGATGGTATCTTTGCCTACTGTCTACCCCCACCCCTTGAGAGTATTCAACTTTACTCTTAATAAACTCTGTATTCTATACTAATAAGAAAAGAAAGCGATGAAAATGAAACCTGTATGCTGACAATTCTTGTTTTGCAAAATGCTAAATGAAAGGTATAGAAACAAGTGTAATCTTCAAATCATAAGTTTCCCTGATTCTTTCAAAATATGGACTAGTAACTGTTTGACTTATGAGGAATAAATTAACCAGATAAATCTAACTGTGGGCCTTAGTCATTTATGGCTACATAAAAAAAAAAAACAAAAGAAAACAAAACAAAACAAAACTAGTCCCAAAGTTGGCAGGTGAAAACATTCACCCAAAGTCTCCGTGTGCTAAAAATCAGGGATCAGGGTCTCACCTGAGGTTATAACTAAGCTGCTAGTCACCAGCTTCTATCCATGAAGCTTGACTGGATGTGAGGAAGCTACTTCCAATCACTCATATGCTCAGGGTAAGTTCTGAGCTCCAGTTGGTGCCTCATGGTCCTTTCTAGAGTGCGCCAAGACCAACAACATGCTGTTGGTCACACAGATCTTTGAGGGAGAGACTATGCAAGGGGGTTAATATCAAGTGTCAGCAATCATTGTAGCAGCTCTGGAAACTGATTCCTGCACTCTCCCCACAGTTCTGTGTATCTGCACATGTGCTTAGTCCACAGATGGGGAGTCCGATCTATGGGGAGCAGACATGGGGAACAGTGTGGGAATAAAAGAAAGACTGGAGATGTGATGACCTTCTTGGTATTTACAGTGTAGCAATAACTTACTGGGAAGGTAGACACGAGCACTGTAGTAGGGGAGAAGAGTTGAGTTGATTTGATTCATTTGATTTTAGTAGATGATCAGGCACACGTCTAATTGGAAACTTCCATGACTTCCATGACTTAGCAAGTAGTTTAGTTACTCAGTCAAAATTTGCTGACTGAATCTGTCCTAAGAATAAATCTAATCTGCCTAGACTCTAGAAGGGCTAAAATGATACAAAATGATGACTTACTGTCATGATAAAATGTCGGTTTTATTAAAAGCAGATTCCGTTTCTTCACATAGGTAAATTTCTTTTCCTCTTTTAAAAGCCTATTTCACTGTATTAGTTTACCAGAGTAAGTTAGCTCAGTGAGGCAGACCATCACTGATGGAGACACACACAAACTTAGCACCACAAATCTACACAACAGCTTTTCCCATGTTTACAAGTTCTCTTACACACCCACACATATATTTACAGCTAATAAATAAAATGTAAAGCCAAAGCATCATTGAGATACATATGTATGTGTATATGTACACGTATACATGTGTGTGCGCACGCGCACGATTTAGAAGCCAGAATGTCCAGTGCTATGTACAGGTTGGCTGAATCTTTGAAATTTGTGAGCCCTTGATCCAAATCTAAATGTACAAAGTCAATGAATTAGCAATAAAGGGGATGCCAGTGACAAATTGCACATCATTTTATTGTTAGAATTGACTGGAAGCCTGATGAAATCAGTCACTTTTGTCCTAATCACATAGGCACAACCACCCTTCTCCTAGCAAGGGCTAACATTCCAGCATATCCGGAACTACTACTCTGACACTCTCCAGTACGTCCCTTGACTCTTTTCCCTTTCCAAGTGACACAGAATGACAGCTATACTTGTGGGGCTTTGTCTGTGGGTAGGTGTTCAGACACCTACAGTTTCACAGTTTGTGTTTGCAGCAATAGCCTCTGGCATAGCACTTCTTTATCACTTTATATTAATATATAGTAAAAATATTCTGAAAATATAAGATCTAGTTCATAAATAATCATACACTCACATTTGATTGGCTTTGTTTGTTTTGTTTTGTTTTTAGGCAAAATGAAACAGTGGCAATCGCCAGGTACTTCCTGTGGCTATCACAGCTGACGACCCCCTTATGTGTACACAACAATTTACAAGCATTGATAACCCTATTTTCTAATAACTTCAACTTTTATGTGGTAAAATGATCACGATCTAAACTTTGTACATTGCATGCTGCAGAAATTGACCTTGATCACATCTAAACTAGAAACGAATGTGATGTGTTAGAAGTGTGCCAGAGGCATGGCCGAGAAGAGTCTCAAACTAAACACTAACTATTGGCTGTTGAATGTGTTCGAGTTGATGAAAACAAATAGGAAAAATCTGAGGATAAAGTTATGGTATCAAGCCAGGTGTGGTTCATGCTAATAATCCCAGCACTCAGAAAGCTAAGGCAGGAGGATCACTGAGAGTTCATGGCAAGCCTGAACAACGTAGCTGAGTTCTGGGTCAGGCTTGGCTACAGAGTGGAAAAAAACGAGACTTTTTCTCAAAAAAAAAAAAAAAAAAAGTAAAATCAGACTAGGTGTTATTTTCCTTCATTTCAATTTATGTGTCACCTGAATTATAAGCTCATTTTCAATGTCTACTCAGAGAACAATGTTAAAATATAAGACAAACTTTTAAAACATGGAGGGATTAAGCTGTAAAAATTCAAGTCTCTTTAGAATTACTCAATCTAGTTCTATATCTCTGTTGACTTGTACTTTGTCATGGTGGAACAAGGCTCAGGACTTCATGAGCTCTGGCCTCCATTGCTTTTGCTAAGTCATACATCTCTGATTACGTTTCTTTCTTTCTTTCTTTTTTTTTTTTTTTTGCTTCCTCACAATGGTGAGAAGAACTAGTTACAAAGGCCAGGTATTTCAACTGCTGAAGAAATGGATCTGACTCATGCCACAAGAAAACTTGAAAAGGTCTCAGTTTAAAGCCTCAGAATTCTAACAAAATAAGAGGCCCTCACTCTCACTCATTTTTTCGACCATGACCAATCGGGTCACAGGAAGGAGTCCTATTTATTGGGAACAAATGATTCCTTCTTATGGGACAAAAGGCACCATGCTTCTCCTATCTGCTGTCCTTTGATGCGGGAAGACATGCCATTGGCCATGAGACTCCTCACCTTGTATTAGCCACGTTTTAGTATTTGAGCCTGTCTTCTAACTTAACTAACAAGATAGAGCTGGGATTAATACTCAGGAAAACCCACTTTCAAACACCCAAACAAGGGTATTGTTTTTTTCTTTTTTATAAAATTTACTTCGTTTACTTCAGTCTTCAAAGAACTCTTGTGCTTTCTTCTCTTGTTGGTTTGTTCAGTATCTGAGGAAAAAAAAAAAAAAAACAGAAGAAAGACAATTTATCATCTGCTTTGACTTTTACAAATCCTTTACTTCCCCACTACTGTCATGATGAAGAAGTGTCCAAGAGACATTCAGAACAAACTTGTGAGATGCAGATAATAGACCTGGGAACGCAGTAGTCCCCTGGAGCAGTAGACACACTTGGTGGGCACACAGATAGGCTACTTATTGGAGCATCATCTTCAGAAGACTGGATCATATGATGGCAGAAGTCACAAAACTTTCCTTAGGCTCTAGACATAACAAAAAGCTGGCTTCATTCTTTTCTTGGAGTGTGAACCTTTTGAGGAGTTAACAGCGGATGGTAGACTAAGAGCTGAAACCCTTGAAGAGTATTAATGTCTGACTCCTAATGATATCTAAATTTAAAGTGCATCACTAGAAATGGCTGCCTATATATTTGTTGTTTAGAAATCCTATGACTAGATGAAAGGGGCATCCTTAGACCTCAGATAATTTCTTATAAATAGTCTGACCAGATTGTTTTGTAAACAGTTGAGGTTATTTCTTCGGTTTTTGGATTTATATTCATTCAAGAGGGCTTCATCTTTATGTTCACATATGTACTTAAAGTTATTGATGGTTGGGGGAGGCAAGTGTATATAAATGTATTCATGTGTGAATCCAAATTTTTATACTGGAGACCCCATTTTTAGAGCAGAGGCAAGAATGAAGTTACCTGGGATCCATGATTTGTAATCGGCAAAGCACTTACAGCTTAGTGGAAATTTCCCTTAGTTAAGAGTCATTTTGCCAGCTTACTACTGGTTACTATTCTCCATGGAATTCAGAGTGATGTTTGGTATCCATATGGCCTCTCTTTTTCATTCATTGCCATAATTCTATGTTTGTGATATGAAAATATGCAGATGTCATGTATGTATAGCAAGAAAGGATATAAATCAAATTGTTAAACACATGTCAAATGTCACCAATAAGGCCTTATTGATTTTCTTTGTTTTTGTCTGTTTTTCCTCATCTATCCATAGTGAGCACATTTAAATTATATTTAAGTAGACACTGTAAAGAAGGCTCTCTGCATACGGTTTTTAGTATTCTTTTTCTGAAGAGGCGATCTTTATTCAGTACTTCTGTCTATAATAATCTAGGAATCAGGATAAAGCAAAAGCAAAGGCTTTGCTATTTCCCAGTGACTCTGTGACCAGCCTTTGTGGTTGCTTCTGTGGCGCCATCAAATATTCTTCCTTTAATATGTGTGGCCCATTAGCACTTGGAGTCTGGCAGTGGAGTGGGGGGGGGGATGAAAACAGCATATCCCGAGAACTTGGGAGAGGAGATGGAAGGTCACATGCTTGGTCTCCACTTAGCATTGACGTGCTGGAAAGAGTCTGCTGCCAGCTGCCATGTGGATTAGCCCTGGAGGTCACGGAGGACAAGCCAGCAGCTGTTTTGAGGTAGGAGAAGAGTTTCCTGTACTCTTATTCCACAGTTTAGGTCTCCCCTGTGGTCCTATGTCCTGCAGTCTATGGTAATTGCAGAGAGGATGCCATTCTGTGGTTACAGCTGATACGAGACACTTTTGTCCCTGGATATATCCTGGGAGGAGTTGAACCCACGCCCACACGTGGGTTCAGACAGCATCTTTGCAGCTAACAGACTTGCAGTAGTGGGGAATGCAGAGGTGAAGATTTGTGGGTAGTTTAAGAGATAATGTAAAATTGAACTTGTATAACTGAGATGGAGGTCAGCAAAGAAACAAGAGTATTAAGGTGTTAAAAAAAAAAAAAACAAGTGAGCGTAAGATAAGAAAGAAGGACTAAGAGAGACTCCTAAAGACAGGGACCACAAGAGCTGCAGGATGAAGAGCTGGGAAGAGGCCACTTTAAGAGGATGCTTAGAGAGCTATGGTTCAAGATGCTCACCAGCCAGACTTCTTCAGAGACTTGTCATGGCACTTCACAAACACTGCGGAGTCCTTTCCCTTCTGCAGATGAGACACTTTCTCCCTAGCACAGAAGATGACCCTGTGGAAGAGAGTAGATGTGAGCATGTCACATGGAACAATAAGAACAATTGTTCCAAATGGGCGTTTTGTCAAGACCATTAAAATCCTATGTGATCACATTAGTTAACTGGGGTGCCATTTCCCATAGTTAAGTGTGTCACTTGGGTCATGTCTCACACAAAAGGTGTGACCAGTAGAAGAGTTACAGAACCACCTCTTAACATTGCTATCAGAGAATTAGGGCATCAGCCTTCAACTGTTTTGGGAACAAAGGCTCTGCAGAGATTTTCTATCTATAGCATGTCCTAAAAGTTTTTGTATGAAAGTAAACAAACAAACAAACAAACAAAGAATTAACTTCTTCAAAGAGTTGTTTCTATCAATGGTATGCCTGCAAAATCCCTGACCATGTGTGTGAAGATTTCCATTCTATGGGGCCCTTTATGCCAATCACTTTATAGATATGTGTGGAGTAGGGCTGAGAATTTCCTGCTTCTTCAAGAGTTACTTTTAGCCTTTAGACGTTAGCATCTCTAAGATGTGTTCCATGTTTTGTAACTATTTTGTGCTTGCAAGTAATAGTGCTACTTGAATCCTGAGATTGCCTACTTCTGATCCCAGCTCTCATGGCCAGTTTAGTGTATGCTCCTTACTTGAAATACAGAAATATTACAGGCTGAGCATCCCAAATCCAAAAATCTTCAAATATTCCCAAATCTAAGGCTTTTTCAATACCACGTGGGGCATTCCACACCTGATCTCATGTGGTACACTGCAGTCAAAATGCACAGTCACTGAGAATGAACAAATTATCTTCAGACTGTGTACAAGACCAACGTGAAACACAAGCTGGTCCCATCTCCAAGATATCTCATTATATAGATGCAACTATTCCAAGATCTGGAAAAAACCCAAGTCCAAACCCTTCTAGTCCCAAGAATGACTGGTGTGCAATCTGAACTCCTTTCTCTGTGAGGCAATAAAAGAATATTCCTGAATCATTTCTGGAATAATTAACTAGGTCACACAGGACTGGAGAAGGTTTCCTGACGTTCCACCTGCATATTGAAGGTTCCAGAAAGGTCTCCCCCTAAGTAATGACAGGAAGCTGTGCAAAGTGTGTGTGGAACATTGCCATCAATTACTTTTTCTGAGTCTCTCCTGCTTTCACCCGAATCTTCTCGATGACAAAGCCGGGGCTGCTCCACCAGTCCGACCAGCTGAAGTAGGAATCACTCTTCCACTTGAGCTTCATCATCAGCAGTTCTCCGATGTCCACCTCCGTATAAATCAGGAAGGAGTAGGTTTTATTTGTGGAGACCTCAGGCCTGAGTAAAAATGCCACAAATTAAGTTACTTTTAGAAGTCAGCCCTTTCTCCTTCCTAGATGTAAATAGCTTTATTGTTTGGCTGATATTTTGAAAATGCAAAACATGGCCACGATGAATGTCAGCAGGGTTTGGCCTATCTTTGGATCCCACACCCCTTTCCTGTGTTCCAGAATTCCTCCTAACATTATCAACTGTTTAGCATGGCTCTTAAGAGAAAAATGTCCACTAGCCAATTTGATTTCCATGTGTTCCTTTTTAATTTATAAATGTGTGAACATATGTTCACTTAATTACAAAGTATATTTTCAGTCCTCTTCTTGGCTCTCTCTATTTGCATCATGCTTTACCTACTTTTCAAGAATTCTGATTTTTAGAGGCTATATTGATTTTACTGACATTATGAACCATAATTCACATGACCTGTGACTCAATGTTAATTAATACTCAATTTATGGTATTATGTGTTTCATGATAATAAACATGCTACCCTTAAATTTTTATAAATATTCTATTGAGTACTTCTTCAGGATACATTGTAAAGGAAGCCACCCTAATTCTTGAAACTATAGCTATAGAAAACTATTTCCTCACTGCCTTCCTTGCATGGAAATTTCTAGCAACCAATAATATAACCAGTATATGTGTGTCCTGCCCAATCACTTCAGTCACTGTGCATTTTAGAAGACGTAACACATGCCTTTAATCCCCGTACTCGAGAAGCAGAGACAGGCAGATCTCTGTGAGTTCCAGGCCAGCCTGGTCTACAAAACTACACAGAGAAACCTTGTCTCAAAAAAAACAAAATAAAAACTAAGGAATAATACTTTGTCATGGGCTTTTTACCTGTAACATTTTCTACATCTATCTATCTATCTATCTATCTATCTATCTATCTATCTATCCATCCATCTATCCATCCATCTGTCTATGTTGTAGATTAGCTTCCTGTTACAATTATTCTTTCTTCCTTCCTTTTTTCCCTTTCTTTCTTGGTGATGCTGGGACCACATACAAATGTTTGGTAAGTGCACCACCTCCCAGGCACATCCCTGATTCATAATGTCAATTCTTTTGGGGGAAACTTAATTATTTTGTCACTGACTCTTTTTTTTAAAAGATCTGAATTGTTGAAAGAAAACATGAAGTAGAGAATAAACAAAAATAAAACAGAGATTAGAAAATAGTATTTTCTCTTATGAAATGGTGCATGATCTCCATTTTTAAATCCTAATTTCTCTCTCTCTCTCTTTTATAATATTTTGAGACAGAGTTTCTACATAGCCATGGCTGTCCTGAAAATCATCATGAAGACCAGGCAGGCCTCGACCTCACAGAGATCCACCTGCCTCTGCCTCCTGAGTGCTAGAATCTCAAGGCATGCTCCACCACACCCAGGTAAATCCTGATTTCTTAAACTGGAGTGTCTTTTGGGGAAGAGGTGGTCATGCACTCTGTTTCCCAGATCAAGGGCTCTGGCAAGGAGCAAGTCTGTTTCCTTGGTACAGGCTGGAGGTGTGCCCAGAGGTACTCACAGAGTGAAGGGGATATTCTCACTCTCGGCCACTGTGCCATACAGAGAAATCTCAAAGGCCTGGTTGAGCTGCTTGTCACTCTCAGTCCCAGAAAAGTGAATTTTGACTTGGTAGTGGAAGACTGTAGAGGGGAGGAGAACATTGATTGGGACAAAGACAGGCATATCAATCATCATGGAAACATCACAGTACTCAAACAATCAAGCAATTCAGGCCCACAGAATAAATGTCTTCGGAGGACCCAAACAGGAAGTGCACACATTGGACTATCCAGGTGGCTTGGAAACACTTCCTATTGGAAGTGAAGACCTTATGTGCTTCTCAGTGTGGCTGCAGCACATGAGAGAAACCCAGCTGTATTTGAATTGCCAACCTGGAAGGGACCACCAGGGAAATCAAATTAATAGCCAAACACATCCTGAAGACTCTTTGTAACCTCTACTTGCCTTGGCCACCTTATATTTCTGCATCTGTATCAAACACATTTGGTATTTGCTGCTTTATTACTGTGTATGGCACTGCTTCTTCACATTTTGTGGGGACATTGTACCCCCTTGGCCCCACCCTGGTCTCATTCTGTTCCTCCACCATCTACAGAGGGAGGCGTGTGGCACACACAATACAGTGAATCCCTGTGAACCAACACAAAGCCTGGAGGAGGTCTGACTTACAAAGCCAGGTCCCAAACTGTCCTGACTTAGGAAGTGTGTCTGGAAGCAGCAACTTGACTTTCCTCATCTCTTCCTGGTTCTTCCCCACTTATCCACCAAAACCATGAGCCTGAAACATAGCTACTGTGACTAGAATGGGGATCATTCTGACACTTGTCTCCTGCAGCCCAATATTTTATGCATATTTTATTATACCGCTGTCCATTAAATGCAATTTCTGTTAAGCTGGGATCCAACATCCTCAACGCTAATGGCATAGAGTGTGGCAAAATTGAATTTAGATGTTACTTTGGATAGTCATATTCCTGAAAAATATTTCAATATATTTTGTTGTGATTTCTTGTGAGAACCTTTATTTAGTTTTGCTATTTGTTTTGTTAAGTGATATTGTGTGTGCGTGTGTGTGTGTGTGTGTGTGTGTGTGTGTGTGTGTGTGTATGTGTGCGCACACGCGCATGCATGCACACTCATGTAGTCCAGTTGGCCTCAAACTTACTGTGTGGTTGAAGATGGCCTTGAATTCCTGATGCTTGTGCATCTATCTCCTAAGGGCTGGGATTACAGGCATACAGGCATGCACAACTATGCTAACCTTATAGCTCATTTTATAATTAAAATAAGTAGCTAGATAAGAAAAAAGAGAAAACCAAAACCAATCAAACCCTGGCACTATTCAAAAGTAAAGAGAAATCATCGTGTGGCTAAAGCAGTGCTGTAGGTCACAGCAGGAGAGGCTGAAGGTTGGGGTTGTCCATGTGTCTCTAGGAAGTCCAGACAGAATGAACACTGGGAGACCTTGTGTAGGCCCACCCCTGTCTTTAGAGTATAGCCTCCTCCATTCCTCACACCTGGTTCTAGAGTTGGAGAAAATGAGAGTTCTCACATAGCCTACAGGATTTCTTTGAATAACAAGTGCTCCAACATCTGGGCCTCCTTGCACATCTGCCAAGCACTGCTGAAGAAGATATTTTGTCTGAGGAAACTATTCTTTAATAAGGGCCCTTCCTTCAGGCTTCCACCTGGACTTTACCAAAGGCAATTTGTTCAGAAGCAGTCCCTGTCACCAGATGTATTTTGCAACACAACCTCCTTCCTCATTTTCCACTGTATGTCTTTAAGTCTTGTTCTTAGCAAGAAGCCAAGCTTTACGTTCAGGTTGGAATTGAGTTCATGGCAAGATGAACATATGACTTGGCACATTCTCGCTTCCCTAGTGTGCTGGCTAATTTTATGTCAGCTTGATACAAGCTATAGTCATCTGAGAGAAGGAAGTCTCAATTGAAAAAATTCCTCCATGAAATTAGGTTGTAGGCAAGCCTGTAGGGCATTTACTTAATTAGTGATTGATGGGGAGGGTCCAGTCCATTGTGAGTGCTGTCACCCCTGGGCTAGTGACCCTGGGTTCTTTATAAGAAAACAAAATGAACAAACCATAGTGAGCAAGCCTTTAAAAAGCTACTCCATGGCCTCTGCATCAGCTCCTGCCTTCAGGTTCCAGCCCCATTTGAGTTCCTGTGCTGACTTCCTTTGATGATAAACAGTGATGTGGAAAATTAAACCAGATAAAACCTTTCCTCCCCAAGTTGCTTTGACCAGGGCATTTCATCACAGCAATAGTAACCCTACACTTGGAATACTTGAATATTGGTGGTTCTTGACTTCATATAAAGCAAATTTTAAAAGGGGCAAACATTCTGTGAAGTTCCAGAGAGTAACTAGTCTTTTTGGGCTCTGTGGGCTTTGTCTCAATTACTTGAGTCTGCTTTTGTGACAGAAAGGCAGTGTTAGATGATATGGAAAGGATGACCATGTTCTAATAAAACTTTATTTACAAAAGCAAGTGGTAGACTGAATTGGGCCAAAGGACTAGGGTTTATAATCCCCAAGTGATGGTTTCAAATCAGCTCTAAACACAGTACTGGTCGTAGCTACATAGAAGGCTGGCTGCAAACTCAAGCTTGAGCACTGGGGTCTTGACGATATGGGACTCAAGAGCTAGATGGAATAGACTAGTGAGAATCCCTCTGTATTAACAGAGGCACAAGTGATGGTTCAGAAGTTAGCAACATCACTTCATTAACTCTACTCCAATAGACAGAATCAGCCCATGGTAAGAGAGATGGCACTAACCAATTTCCCCGCCTTCCCACCGATTCCAGCGTACCTTTGTAGGGCATCTGAGAGCGAGTCTTCAGGTACATCTTGCTGCTCCTTTTGGCTCTGACCTTGTTGATCTCATAGCCCACATTGTTGCATCGATTCTTTCTGCAGCTCAGGCAGAGCCCTTTCTCAAAGGCTTCCTTGGAGTTGCACCTGTAAGCCTTGCTGGGGTTTTCCTCATTCAGCAAGGAGTCAATGAAGAGATGAATGGATCGCTCATGGGAGCACTTTACCAGCTGGTCCACATCTGCACAAAGAGATGTGGGAAGTGGCAGTTCTCCAGAAATTGCCTTGCACTGGGGTATACTCAGTACCAGGCTCTCTTTTAGGGTGCATTCTTGGTGGTAGCTCCTCACCTCCTTCCACAACTGTCAAGTTGACAGTTAAAGGTTGATAAGAAACTTTCAGCTCTTGCCATCTTACATTTATGAATGTTTATTATGCCATAATAGATGACACTCGAGGTAGAAGTTGATTCCCTCCTGATTAACACAACCTTCGCTTTATTGAAAATGTCTGCCACATCTAAGTGTTTCTAAAAGCACAGTTTTAGAAACCACATCGTAACAGATAAAATTGTTAAGTTAATAGCAGAGAGAGGTCAGAGGACAACCTTGGTCCTTGTCTTTCGCTTTGTCTGGTACAAGGTTTCCTGTTTATCATTGTGCACCCAGGCTAGCTGGCCTGCGAGTGTCTGGAGATTCTTCTGTCTGCCTCTCACATTACTGTAGCATGGCAAGTGCTTTCCCACTGAGCCAGCCACCTTTCGTCGCCACAGTGGGTATACTGGAGCCATACACCGTGGAGGCCGTGAACAGGACACAGCGTCATTGAGCCCTAAGCCTCAAAACCCACACATAAGTGACTTCTGGTTTACTCACCTCCAAGGCCCCGCTCTGCAATCACACGAATGGCTTCCCCAATGTTGCATCCTGGCTGGAAAGTGCCTCCATTGGGATAAATGTCAACATGTCCTACTGGTTTCTGGATCCCAATACTTCGGCCAGGTGACCCTCTGGTGAATGTATGTAAGACGTCTACGAAATCTGCATCATCAGGAGAAAGGCGACTGGGGGCCTCTGCATACTCAAAGTTAGGCCCAGCTGGATCCAAGCCTTGGTGGGAAAGAAAAGGCCCCATTAATTTTAAAGTCTGCAGTAGGCTCAGTTGTTAATGTCAGCATTCTGCTCATTTGAATACTATTGGAAGTCTCTTGAATTCTTACCAGCTCCTTGTCTTAGGAGTTGAATCTTTCAGTGACTAAGAGTCAAAAACGTAGGTATAGCTCTTCTAAAATGAAATCTTGCTAATTCACTCCCTTGCTGTCTCACCTCCATTCTCTCTCACTCTCTCAGGCTAGCCTCAAACTCTTGATCCTCCTGCCTAAAGTTCCATGATGCTGTGATTACAGATGTAGCGTTACCGTGGTCCTCACATTTGAGTTCCCCCTACTCTCCACCTTTCTTCAGATGCTCCTGTTACTAGGATGGCTTTAAACATAAAATGTAGCTGACAATGGCTTTGAACTTCCTACCTCTCCATCCTGAGTGTTAGTGTTACAGGCATGCACCATCAGGCCTAACGTGCATCTTTTAAGCTGACCAGTCTACAGTGATTGTTCATGCCTAATGACCTGATTTCTTCTTGTAGGTTATTTCTGAGTCTGAAAGACCTTTACTCCATCATCAATTCTTTTTGTCTCTCTTTCTATACAAAGCCATTTACAGCCACTTCCTAGATGACGGTCTTATTCCAGATGCTCTCTAGAATCAGTCCTTGTCAGTCTCCCTGGTACTGATGTGAGAGAGGATGGCATAGATGCAGTCTGTTAGCTCCACTGGAGCAGGGGAAGGCCAGAACCCTTTCTTGGAGGAATGTGTGGTCCTCTGTCCTTAATGCTGTTATCTACTCCTTTGCCATGGCCAGTGGATGGAAAGCTAGAGCTGAGACAAGAGATGATGAACATTGGGCACAAGCCCCAACACCACACTTGTGGGTACCTAATGAAAGCAGCTCTAATTCTCTTTCTGAGTGATAGTCATGCTAGATCTTGTGATAAATGAACAGAAATGCCCCTTACCAGTGATTCTGTTAACCTTCTTGTTGGTCAGACTTCCTGCCACACCAGCAGCATGAGCTCCAAGGCTATACCCCAAGAGGTGGACATTGTCCAGGGGGTAGTTAAACTCTTCCTGTGGGAGAAGAAATGAAAAAAGTCTTGGTGTAGCTCTTGGCCAAACATTAAAACTAGAAGTAATAGAAGTGAAAATAAATATTGGTTTTAAAATATTGACCATACTATAGTTAATTTTACTGATTTAGTGTAATAGCTCAAAGAGACAAATATTCTATGGTGTTGAGATTTTTTTTTCTTTAATGGCAGGTTGAAATATGATTTTCCAGACATCCAAAAGTGTCAAATAAATATGTATAGATAGTAGATGTATATATACCACATAAGTGTACATATAGACTTTTGCACATTATCTGCTTGTCCAAATGTCCTGCAGTCTATTATTCCTTGAAGTTAACCAAGCAGTGACTACAGCAGACAGCAGAAGAGATCACAGACACCTATGACTCAGCTCTCTGCATCAACGGGTGTGGTAGTTTGAATGGGAGCTACCACCATGGGTTCATGTATTTGAATGCGTGGTCCCCAGCTGGTGGAAATGTCTGGAAAGGATTAGGAGGTGTGGCCTTGTTGAAGGAGGTGTGTCACTGGGGGTGGGCTGTGAGGTTTCAAAAGCCCACACCATTCCCAGTGTCTCTAAGTGCCGGGTGGCTTTGTCTCCAGATGTGAGTGCCACACTCCCTGCCATGATGGTCAAGTACTCTAACCCTCTGCTGCCCTGAGCCCCAAGTTCAATGCTTGGTTTTCTAAGCTGCCTCAGTCGTGATGTTTTATTGCATCAATAGAAAACTAAGACAACAAGTGAGAAGCCCGGGGCCCAAAGCAGTGGTCTTTCAAGTTCATTTGTCTGACTAGCTAAAGAACCAAGAAATGGATTTTGGTTTTTGGTGATTAAAGTGTATTTTTGGATATAATTCCCTGTTTTAAATTACTTGCCCCTGTCAGAGTATTAGCTTCTCTTTAGCCCCTCCCCCCAAACCTTCAATGATAACTTCCAGAGTGTGGCCCACAAGAGAAGAAGTGGGTAAAATCTACAGGCAACTCCAATTCTGAACCCTTAGCTATGTCATGTCCTATACGTCCCACCCACTATCTCCCTACTCCAGTGCATCTCTGTCCCAAACCAGGAGGGTGACTATTGGATGTCAGCAATCATCTGGATCCTTTATCTTCTCTAAGAGCTAAACACTATTAACACTTTTGTTAAAGAGGTTGGTGTTCAACAAGAGTCAAAGCTGGGATAGAATGCCCATGACAGCCAGCTGGTAGGGAAAGTGGTGGCTGAACATACCATCTTCCTCCATCCTAAAAAAGCATACTTTTGTTTATACTGCCCACTTGGTCCTTAGTCCCAGCAGATCTATTCCCTGGAATATCAAAGGTCAGGCAGGGTAGAATCATTTATTGGCTGTATAATCTAGTCATTCTTGTCACAATGTAAAAATGCCCTTCTGGAAAACCTGAAATGCTACAGAAAACACCTCAGATCTTAGTGAAAAGGGGGGAAAAATCAGCCACCTGTCTACCTCTCACCAGGAGTTTTCTCCTAAACACAGGAGGCTCCCTTTCCCACTCTTACCTCCATCCAGTTGATGAACCTGGCCACATCATTTCCCACCAGCTTGGTGTAGCCAGCCGACACTGGATAGTGTTGCTGGGCCCGATACAGCCAGTCCACCACAATGACGTTGGAGTCAGGTTCTCTCTTGTACAGGGCAGCCACAAGTTTGGGCACCCAACTCTCATACATTCCTGTCACCTGAAAAGGATAATACATGATTTCATCTAACTATATTTTATTGTAAATATTACAACATGAAATGAGAGATACAGAGTTGCATGGAAGCCCATTGTTTCAGCCTGAAAACCCAGACCTCAAGGGGTCCTCTAATTCTTTCCTATTCCTTCCCCTTCCAGGGCAAATGTGAGGATAGCCAGGGAGTGTGCTGGCCTCAGCAACAGCAGGCTGGGGATTAACTTGCTTTAAAAACTGTTTTATCAATTAGTAAGATGTCAACAATTTCCACTATTAAAAAAAAGGTCAGGCCAATGTACTAAAAGTTTATAGCCAAACTGCATGCTTTTAGAAAAGAAAAATTGTTTAATTACTTTCAACTAAGTTGAGGACATGTTTTCCAGAAGAGCCAACTAAAAGGCCAGGCCTGTCAGGCATGTCTATAATTCTAGCACCTCTGGAGAGTAAAGCAAAGGTAAATTCATGACCAGCCTCAGTTACACAATGATTTCAAGGTCAGCACTGGGGAACTTAGTGAAACTGTCTCAAAAACAAAAGTGGAAAGAAGGCAGGATCCATTGCACACTGGCAAAATGCTTGGCATACATGTGCAGGGCCCAAGGCTCAACAATCAATACTGCAAAATAAGAACGGAAGATACTTTTAAGGGAGGCAAATGCACTGCTTTTCTTATAAAGAATGTTTTGCTAAGGATGTTAGGGTCAGGTCTTGCTGCAGCTACAGTGAAGGCTGTCACTTACTTAGAATATCATGACAAACGTGTTAAAGGTAACTTAATGGAGACCTACAAAACCAGCAGAGAAATGGGAACCTTGGAAACCCAAATCTCCTGGCTCCACTTGGAGTTTTACTCTCATGAGATGAGTTCTTTTCTACTCCTGATTTATTGTTTATGTGTTTACTAGACTGAAATAACCACATGTGAACCTTGCTTCACTCAGTGCCCTAGACAAGCTGCACAACTTTTCACCTAGTTTTTGTGCCCTGTGCTGGGGCAAGGCCAACCCAAGAGATATGGACTGTAGTTCTACCTCTCCTACTAATCAGTTCTGTAAACTAACTTCAGCCCTGCACCACGGGGCTGGCCCAGCATGGCTCAAAGCTCCCCCACACATTTCCACTTGTGGCCTGGTTCCCCGTCTCCCTGCAGACATAGGGTCAGTTCCACTACCATTTTAGGCATGGAGGGAAAATGAAGGAGAAAAGGTACAAAGTGATGTCAGCCAGCTAGGAAGCTGGTTAAGCCTCTTTGAGCATGTCTCCGGCAGGATGCTGCCAGTCCAGGTGCAGAGTGTGTCCTAACCACCTCTCTCACCAGCCCTCCTGGCTGCTACACTCACTGTCTTCTGCAGCTCCAAAGCAAGAGCATGAGAAAACAGTGGCTTTTCTTCAGAATGCAATGCTAGCTGCACTGACTGTCATCTTCCCACCCCACAGTGAGAACGAGCAAGTGCAAAGCTCCAGTGGGAGTAGGCAACTGTCCTGATGGGACAGAGAGGGTCTTGACTTCCCTGAGTCTGTGCCCTTGAATGACCTGGAAGCTTATCTCTGGCAAGCTGTTTGCTCTAGGTTCTGTTGTACCTTTTCTCTATCAGCGGTTCCAAGTCTGGCCGTCTGGCAAAGGGCAGGTGACCAACTTACCATACTGTTGGGTACCTCTGTTAACTCAGTAGCAACTAATCGAATCCCTTCTTTTTTGATTCAACACAAAACATAAATGAAAGAAACAAAAGGGGTTGAGGAAGCGAAGAACTGTCTTCTACTCAGGAAAGGTCTTGTTTTCTAGATTTTTCTACTTACAAGCCTTTGACAGACAAGTCTGTGAACCAGAGCCCACTCTGAACCCAGCCTGCGTTTGCTTAGATAAGCCAGGATCAGCTGGCATTATTATGGTTCCAGACAAGGCAAGCCTGTGTGATAGGGAAACACAGGCTGTTTGGTCTGCAGTCTAGCCTGAGCCTAGCACTCAAAACACCAGGACACATGACCTAAAGAGCACAGGTGGGTTTAGCGAGGCAGCATCTGGCACTGTGTTTGGATACTGCATTAGTCATGTCATCTTAGCAAGAAAAGGATACCCTCCCCACACTGCTGCAACTTCCTAAAGCACCAAATTCTTTCAGGGTGAGGCTGAGATGCTCGGGACTTGACTCACACAGTTGTTCCCCATGTGCTCACTGAGCTCAAACTTCGGAGTATTCTATATATCACACTATGTACACTACTAAATGGGTATGAGTCCTGCTGCTGACATACCCACAGAAATTACGGCATTTGCTATGTTTTCAATAAAGAGATCACCAGTACGTGGGAAAAGATAGCTGGTTTGGATGTACATCATTGTTGCCTAATTCTTCTCACTGGAATTCGGTATCCAGCTATAGCGTTCAAAGGTTGTACATGACAAGAAGATGACACATCTTTAACCATCTGTTTCATATAAATTATTTGTAATAAATAATGCAACCTAGAAATTGAAAATTGTAAAAAGTAAATTAAAATTGAAATATTTACACAAGAAAAGCACCATGTAAAGCAGCTACTTGGCATAATTTGGAGGGGCTATTTATGAATATTTTAAATAACTAGCTTTAACCATAGCTTGTACTTTTTTTCCTATCTTTTTTAATGTGTGGGCATGTGTCTGTGCGGGTGCATGCAGGACAGCTTGAGGGGCTGTTCTCAGGACCTGTCCACCTTGCTTTTTGAGATGGGAATCTGGAGTTCACCGAGTAGCCAGGCTGGCTCACCAGTGAGCCGCACTCTCTGTCTCTGCCTCCCTGAAATTATGAGTATGTCTCTGGGCCCTGCTTTTTTATGTACTTATTTTTTAAGTGATGGAATAGAACCAAGGTCCTGTGCTTCTAAGACAAACACTTTTTTGGATTGAACTATCTCCATAAGCCTTTTCTCCAACCTTCCAAGACAGTCCCCTGATAAACTCCCTTGAGTTTATAATGGGGGCAGATTGAAAGTAGAGGGGCCTTAGAGAAGTCTAGTCCAAGCCCTTAGTTTTACCGAGTAGTACACTGAGGCCTAGAGATGACAAAAGATTTGATCACGTCACAGAGCTGGAGATCTGGTAACAGGCACCTGAACAGTTCTTCTGCTCTGGCCTCCTCCTACTCCCACAGGTGACCTTCAGATGTGAGCTCATCCTGTGTACATCAGGATCATACTAGGCTTCCTCTGGCTCCCCGAAACAGTAACATCTTGTGTTGAGTGGAACATCCTCCTTGCACCTCCACAGATGTAGGATTCAAGCACACTAGCCAGGTACCGAGTCGGAAAAAAAAGTGGGCGCCAGCCAGGGGGAAGAGTTCATGAATCTGAACTATTGGAACTGCCTTGAACCAAGACTGTATCTATTCAAGTCTACGCAGAAGGCAGACAGATAAGGTTATGGGCTTCCAATAGCTGGGGTCTGCTTGACCCTAACCCTCCTCTAGCACCACTCTTACCGTCCAGCCATGGATCACAACGAAGGTCTTGCTGCTGTGGTTGAAGTGGCAGTTAGACACAGATTCTGCTATTCCGGGAATGAGGTGGCAATTGTCCTCAGCCGTGTCATCAGGGGTCCTTAGGGCAAATTTACTTTCAATGTCTGTAAAATCTCTTCCCCCTACAGGAAAGGAAATTGGAGAAGTTAATTGGGGGTAATTTGGTTTTACTTGGGACTTACAGGGTTTAGGTTCACAAGTAACCAAAGCCAACAACACCCATGGCTTTTCTCAGAAAATGAATATGGGTCTGTGCAAGCATGAAGACACAAATCCAGAATCCCAGAACCCACATAAGTGCCAGGTTGGAGTGGTGACCTTCTGGCCTTCCAGCCTCACCAGGCAGAGATGAGGTCTTCAGAGCCAGCTGCAGTATAGCCTTATCGGTGAGCTCTGGGTTTGATTATAAGGCCTTGCCTCAAAGAACAAGGTGAAAGGGTGATCAAGAAAGACACCCTCCATCGACCTCTGGCCTCCAAATTCACACGTACATGTGTACATCTGCACACATGCAAACATACATTCACCACACACTCAAGTGCACATACACATACACATACTTTTAAAAGAAAAAGAGAACGTGGATTGCAAGAGAATGACTGATGTCCCAGTGGTGACAGAGTGGACAGAGATGACCTTAATTGTGAGTTAAGCAATCTGTGACTGCCAGCCTTCCTTTCAGCACACTTCCAGTGAACTACTATGTGGAAAGTACTGATTTCATCCTGTCTCAAGTGAGTTGTCCAAGATGGGACAGAGAGGATGGACTAGTACCCAGGACTTCTCCTAGCTCAAGCTCATGCTCCTGGAGGGCACTGCCCCATAGGTCTTGTGTGTGGCACCGTTCTCACTATGTTGGGAGTATTCCACTTTTCTAAGTATCTGATTATAACACAATCATAACAACACCTAGATTCATTGGACCCGGAACCCAAAACGCATAACAACACAATTAGATTGATTTGAGGAAAGGACCCACCCCCCGAATCAGAATTTTAAAAGAAGAAAAAGTTGAGAGCCCAAGGAAGCCTTTCCCCTCCGAATAGCAACATGTGCTGTCTCGGACCATTTTTCGAGAGTGAAATGTTCAAAGATAGCAGGGCATGTGTGAGCTGTGGTCAATATGTTCTCTAAGTAGCTTTCCTCTTCCTTTTGTCCTTGGAGTCTTGCACACAAAGTCAAACCTTTAAAATTACAATAAATCTTAGCTGGGCGGTGGTGGTGCACACCTTTAATCCTAGCACTTGGGAGGCAAAGGCAGGTGGATTTCTTAGTTCAAGGCCAGCCTGGTCTACAGAGTGAGTTCCAGGACAGCCAGGACTACACAGAGAAACCCTGACTCTAAAAACCAAAATAAGTTAAGTAAATACTGTGAAGAATTCTTCACAGTATTCTTAAACTGGATAAGGAGAGATGATAAACCTAGCCTTTGATATATTGACACATATCTAAATGCTGATAAATCTTTATGATTACTATAGAAAGTATAAATTTCTATGTTGCTAATACATGACCCTTTTGAGGAAACAGGCCACAAAGGACTTGGTGAAATTTTTTAAATTCTGGTCAAATTATAGACACATCCTACCTACTTACTATTAAAATTTTATAAAATGTGAATGTTTCTCTTGAAATTTTTCAGGAAATGAACAATTGAGATTGTTAAGAGACTACCCACGTCTCAATCTAAATCTGTTTCTTCTTTATAACTGAAATTTTGAAAGCTTGAATTTCAAACTGGCATTGTAAAAGCCAAGGCAAGAAGGAAAACAAGAAGGATGCACTGAGTGGCCGTGCAGGCACTGAAATTGGGCTCGTCATGTAATTATCTGAGGATTGGCAAGCATTTCCCTTTGAGGAGATTATTTTTAAATGCTGTGGTTAGCTGCTGAGTAATTCACTATCAGCAGTAACTCAACCATACATGTGCACACCCACAGCAAATCCCTACTACCTAACACATGGCAGATATTTCTTAATGATTATATTTGCTAGAAAGAAATGAGTTTCACAATATTTGTTAAACACTCTCAAAGCCTTCATCCAACTAAGGGACTGCTAAACTCCTGATCTTCAAAGCTCTTAACTCACTGAGTCTATCCTGCCACCAAGAATTTGTGCAAGTTCGCATCTTATTTGATGACAAGGTGTTCTTCCTCCCAAGCCAGAAAACACTGTTAACCTTACTAATTGGTACAAAAGAATATTTCACGTGTCTAACCTAATTAATCTGACTCTGCCCAAGAAGTTACTTTAGTTTTAGAAAGTATTTTAGAAAATATAAAAGTAAATTAGCCTCACTTGATTCTGCCTCTCCACCTCTAATAGCTCATCCTCCTCTCTAATAGTCTGGTTTTTTATCACCAGTCTTTTATATCAGTTTTATTACATTTATGTATATATCCAGTGTGTGTCCCACATATGCATAGTACAACACATGTGTGCAGGTTAAAGAGCAATTTGTTTGAGTCAGTTTTCTCCTTCCACCATGGGGGATCAGGGGATCAAATTCAGGCTGTCAGGCTTGGCAGATGGTCTTAATCTGTGAAACTACCTTACCAGCCTGATTATCAGTGTTTTTCAAGCATCAGCAACTGAACAGTCCAGCAGACAAGCTCCCTCACTGTCCATCTTTGCATTGCCACGTCAGAAGGTTACCTGAACAGCTCCGGAAATTCGGCTCTTCGTGCTCTCCTTTATCTAGAATTAGGCAGTTTAGTGGACCTGTGTTGCCGCTGACTTTGAAACAGCCATGGGTATTTTCTGAAATGATTAATGCTGACTTTGTATATTTCCATGAAAAAAAAATTGTTTAAGGCCGAGATCCATATCCAAGGCTCAGGTTGGATTCCCTACAACCAGCAAGTCCACCGGACTCATTGCTGATTAAGAAACAAACAAGCAAACAACAGAAATTCATACACTATCACATAGATTTGCACATGGGAACTTTCATTTTACTTTTAATGGGAAGGAGTGTGTGTGTGTGTGTGTGTGGTGTGTGTGTGTGTGCCTGTGTGTGTGTGCCTGTGTGTGTGTGTGTGTGGTGTGTGTGTGTGTGCCTGTGTGTGTGTGCCTGTGTGTGTGTGTGTGTGGTGTGTGTGTGTGTGCCTGTGTGTGTGTGCCTGTGTGTGTGCATGTGAAGTTTTCACATAAAGATGGTGCTGCTTAATGAACTCTGCAATAGTTTCAGTTCTATGTTACATATAAAGTCACACATCTTTCAGCTGCCTCGTCTATGAGGTAGGAATTTTTCATATTGTTAGTGTTTGCTCTCCTTTAATAGTGCCTCAGTATCCTAAAGACAATGTGCTTTCCCAATCTCTGTGGTCCCTGCAGCATCCGCTGAGAAGAGCATGTAGACAGGTAAGAAGATGGACCCCAGGCGTGGTTCCTAAGTATTCATCACAAGGTGCACCCTGGGCTGACTATTGGAGTGGCAGATGAGCTTGAGCTAATCTGAGGAATCTGAGGTGACTGTTGCTAAGGAAACTAGCAAATGTTATCAGTGACTCTGCATTCCTCCAACTATGCTGCCTTTTGCTAGGTTCCTTGGGGAATTAAGGCCACTTTAGAACAAGGAAGAGGGGAGGACAACGAGGAGGAGGGGAGTGAGGGAGAAGAGAGGGAAGGAAGGAGAGAGGCAGAGACATCTAGCACATTAATACTACCCTGACAATCAGGACCACCCTGACATGTCTGAATTCAACATCAGGGTAATGTGTTTCTGTAGACAAATCACAAGTCCATGTGTTTCCTTTACTGTGTAATCTTTATTCCTAAGTGTCTAAGAAGATAGCTTGAATGTAGTAGATAAGACATTTATCTTAATATGGATAGTCATTACAGAGATGAAATTAGGCTGAGTCAAAGAACCACAGAGAAGGGTAAGGTTATACAGAGGGACTGTACTACTGTTAGAAAAGGAGCAGCCTTGAGCCTTTAAGGAAGGAACAAGTGACATTGAAGACAGATGAAAGCTATCAGGTGAAGAAGCACCAAGTGTGTAAAGAGTCAGAGGAACTTGGTTATAATCATAACACAGTTATCTTTTGAAATCCTGCCCTCTTCTCTTTCTCCTAAAAGGTTATATCCATCAATCACTTGAGACAGATGTTTATAGCACTGTAGGGTTCAGGATTCCAGGAAGAAAACAAGAAAACAATTTCAATTATTGAATTGGTCAGTTTGGTGTGGAAAAGACACACTAACATTGCTGTCTGACTGCCTCCATGAGTGTACATAGATACTTCAGTGTGGGCACTATTTGTGACTTGCCTAAAAAATTAGAGTTTGTCTCTTTCATAATCAAAAACGAAGAAATGCTTTTTCAATTGAGTAATAAGAAGAAATACCTCCTAAATGTCATGCTGAATTTGTTCCAAAATTAGAAGAAAAATTCCATAATACCTACAGGCAGGGTCACAAACTGGGCTGTAAACAGCAAGTACAGACATGGCTCAAGGACACCCTGTGGCCTGGGTAATGGAATGGCTGGGTGGAGGGCCCTGCTTTAGGCACATGTAAATGAAGATTTCTAATTGAAATACAAAATTCTTGCACAGTTCTTATGAAATTACTTTTTCTTTGCTGATAGAGACAGCAAAGAAAAGAATCCAGTTGCTTTAAACTTACACAGTGAAAGTTAATGGTTGGTCCACTAGCATTCTGTCTGATTATCTATCATATCAACATTTTGTCAGAGGGAAGGCCAAATGAAGAATGGCACTCCAAGATGGAGATGGTGGCACACACCTTTACTATCAGTATTCAGGAGGCAGAGGCAGGTGGATTTCAGTGAGTTTAAGGCTATTCTGGTCTGCATGCTGAGCTTCTGGCCAGTCATGGTAACATAGTAAGTAAGACCCTTCCTCAAAACAAGAAAACAAAACAAAAAGAATGTCATTCCATTCTTTTATTTAAAGTGTAAGTTCTATAGATGCAGAGTCTCACCGCCAAACAGTAGGTGGACCTCAGGGACTCCTGCAGAAGAAGGGGAAGAAGGATTGTAGGAGCCAGAGGGGTCAAAGACACCACAAGAAAACTCACAGACTCAACTAACCTGGGCTCCTAGGGGCTCACAGTGAGTGAACTGACAATCAGGGAGTCTGTATGGGACTGATGTAGGCCTTCTGCTTATGTTACAGTTGTGTAACTTGGTCTTCTTGGGGAACTCCTAACAATCGGAGCAGGGGCTGTCTCTGACTCTTGCATTGGCTTTTGGGACCCTATCCTCATACTGGGCTGCCTCATCCAGCCTTCAACTTGATATACCATACTTGGTTCATACCCTCGGAGGTCTACCTTTCTCTGAATAGAAATGGAGGAGTGGGTGAGGGAGGGGCAGAAGAGAAGTAAGGGGAGGGACTAAGGGGAGAGGAAAGAGGGGAGACAGTGGTCAGATGGTAAAAATAAATAAATAAAATGAAAAAATTTAGAAATATCTGCACACAATTAAAACCTTATATTAATCTGTTGAAATAGAAAAGGAAAAAAATAAAATTGAAGTTCTGACTGGGCTTTTTTCATCATAATTAATTTTATAAATGTTTTTTCCCAGAAGGAAATTATTGATTTCAAGATAACCCTATCTGGTATAGAGAAGGGCTAGACTCACAACTTTGACTCCCTACCCTCTCCAAGAACCTGACTCTTTATACTGTTCAAAAGCTGCTGTAAATGTCAATAACAAGATTAAATTAACTTGGGTCAGAGTAGGATTGTATAGAACAGACTTCTTCAGAACACACATGCCAAGGTAGCAAGTGCGTGCCACGAACACCACTGGATTAGACCCAGAGTGGTTTTGCCTATTGAGCCAGTTAGCAGGGAGCACATCTTTATTCATTCAAAGGTCAAAATTGGTGTTATAGCTAGGATGTAATTCAGTCAGTGTGGGAGAACAGAGTAGAAAGAGCAGGAAGAAGAAGTCGGCACAGGCAGAGTGTGAACTTTACATACATTACATCATCTAACATAACCCACTCCTGCCATCCAAGTCAATATTCATTTATTCCACAAGAACATGTTAACACTTATACTAAAATGATGCTACACTTCACAAACACACAGACACTCTCCAGATGGCCCTTGGGCAGGTATGTGAAGTCACTCATGCTCACAGTGGAGGGTGGATTTTTTTCAGGAGTGGATGGGAGGAGACAGAAGGGAGGTAGTTTGTTTGTTTTTTCAATTTCAAATTTCAAACTCTTAGTTTCAGAGTAAGCTACAATTTTACTCCTTTAGAAACTGGTAAGGCTTCAACTTTTGCAAAGAGTGGATGTGGCAAGGGCCTCTTGTGACAAATTCCTATCAGGCTACAAAATCTGCATACACAGACAGACAGTGAGAATTATTAAAACATTCAAGTGACATTCCTGACATGCAAAATAGTGATGCCTATATTGAATTCCTCTTCACAGTATTAGATCCAACGTCATCACCAGCCACCATTCTGATGGCCAGAACATTTTCCCAGACAAAAGGATGCAGCCAGCCCAGCAATGGTGGCACCTACTTTTAATCCCAGGATTAGGGAGGCAGAGGCAGGCGGGTCTCTGTGAGTTCGAGACCAGACTGGTTTACAGAATGAGTTCCAGGACAGCCTAATCTACACATAGAAAACCTTGCCTCAAAAACAAAACAAAACAGCAAAAAAGATGCAGCCTTTGTGATAATAAGGTGGAAACCGGCCGTGGTCAGAGGGAAAAGGGACACATGGCATGCTGGACAACCTGACAGAACAGAAGCAGTCAACTGAGTGTAACCGTCTCCTCTACAATGCAGCAGCAAAGGGAAGCTGTGCTAAAAATACACTCAGAGAAAGAAACTGAACATCTTTCCATTGCAACTCTCCCTGCCACGTGACTCCCCCCACCTTTCAATCCAGCTATTAATCAATCACTCCCCTGTCAAGTTCTCTCCTAGTGACATTTGCCATTGCTGTCATTATCCAGTTATTTAACTATGATATTAACCCGCAAGTGAGCACTGTGCCCTGAGGAACAGGACTTCACAGAGCAGGGCCCTCTCTGCTCCCTCTTTTAGCTCTCTACTTTCCTGACTGGAGCCAGGAGGGGCTGCAGAGGCTCCAGGAAGAAGTCTCCAGGGCAATGTCTCTCATACGAGGGCACTGTTCCCAGAAAAAAAAAAAATCAAGAGCGATCAAGGAAACTCAAAGCCCAAAGGGAAACTGGGGTCACTCCAAGCTGTGCCTTTCCCACAGTCTTGCCCCTGGGGGAATTCATTTGTGAGAGAAAGGACTAGAAGGTGCTGTGATAGAAGAAGCACACCGGTAGAGAGAACAGAAAGATGATCAGAGAGAATAATTTTACATCTGCTTCAGCATACTATTCCCTAACACATTTTGTTGATAGGAAAATCAGGTGTTGGCTAAAATCCAAAATTATTACGCAATTACTTAGGTGTCCATTTAAATTATAGTATAAGATTGGGACCTCACTTTGAGGCTTGCCAGCTTCTCTAATGTTAGAACCCATGTAGCTAACCCCACAAGGGTGACACACGATGTGGCTGAGAAGCTGGGTCCAGAGCTTATAAGGAAACCTTAGCAAAATTTGAAGATGTGGACGACCCCAGGGGCGTTTACAGTAAAAGCAGTTTTATACTGCGATGTGCTTTCTGGAATATGAATTAACCAGAGTAGCAAACTGTACAGAAAGACAATCTGCTCCAGGAAAGCCACAATATTTGTGTCCTCAAACACCTGAGATTCTTATCTTCCTTGCAGTTCTCCCATGATTGATTCTCTCTTCTCTGATAACTCAGCAAAGACATTTACAACTATATGCAGAAATAAAGCTCGCTTTCAGCTGCAGTCCCAGACTCCACTAAGACTGCAGTCCCAGACTCCACTGGAATTAGGCTGCGGACTTGCCACCTTAGAGCACCTCCAGGGAACACCACCTTCATGGCGATTCCACCAGCAGCAACACAAGGAAACAACAGCCTCCTTTTATGACTGGGTTCAGTTACATTTTGAGTCTGTGCTCTGTTAGCTCAACCAAGGTTCAAGTTACAAGGCTTCTCAATTGTGGGCAGGTCTCGACTGCAAGGCCATAAAGAAACTCACAACTGACCCTAGTCGTCTTCTCTAAGCAGAGAGAGCAGGCAGCGCCCTGTAGGTGACCGCCTTTGTGACAGTAGTGCTGACTGAAACCTCCCTGGACACTAGAAAACCACTTGTTCTCTAAGCTAGCAGAGCACCTCTCCTCGGGCGAGCGTTTCCTGGGAGAACAGAAAGAGTAGAGTGCCGAACTGGCAACCCCCAAGCCAAAGGCCCCAGAGTACTGTGGCTGAGTCACGTTTTCCCGAGGATCAGCCGTTTACTGGGTTTTCTTAGGTACTGAGCTAAACGGAGGGCAAGAGCTTGGAGAGTGGATAGCTCCCCGGCTCAGGAACGCGTGCAGGACGCTGGGTCCTAGGACTCCGGGCCACGCGTTCCTCTACGCCACCGCCACGGCGCACTGCACTCCCACTCCCAGCTCGTAGCGTTGCCCGGAGAGCGACAATGCCCTGTGCAGCCGGGACGCAGACAACGCGTCCTCCCACCCCCATCCCTGATGAAGCCACACTCGGCTCACTCTTCCCGCCTTCAGAAGTGTCGGACCCGTAGTCCCAGCCAAATTAGAGTCACCTTGGCCTCGGTGCTTTGCATTCAGCACTCCCACTCCCTAAGAGGAGGTTAGAACTTGTCACTAGTGCATCGCCCCCGACCTCCAGGTCTCCCCCATCCCTTCGGTCACACCCCCGGCCCTTCCCTGCTATGGCCCGCGGCGGGAGAGAGCTAGGGACAGAGCGGGAAACCGGGAGAGAGAGAGAAAAAAGCGGGAACCCGGAGTTGCCGCAGCGTGATCAAAGGCTGAGTCTTTCCTTGCTCCTACTGAATTCTGCTCCAGCCACCCTTCCTGGGACTCCCTTTCCCTGATGCGCCCGGGAGTCCCAGTGAGCGCCGCTTCCAACTTTCTCCTTCCCATCTTCAGATGGAGAGGAAATGGTCTCGATCCGGTCTGCAGGTGGAGGCAAGTCGGCGCTCAAAACGTACCGTCTGCTGCGGCCATCCTTGGGAGGCGGTCAAACTCTGGAGCCACACTCCCAGAGCCACCAGGAGCAGGGCTTTGCTCTCCATCTCCCTGGGCGTCCTTCTGCTTTGCTGTGGGAAGTGCGCGGCGCGGTGCGGACGAGCGGGCGAGCGGGCGGGCGGACGGGCGGGCGGGCTGGAGCAGATACGTGTAGCAAGGGGTTGAGCAGGAGGCGCCAAAGGGCTGGAGCGCGGTAGAGCGCCGCAGGGCAAGTCAACCTTTAAAGAGGGGAGGGCAGGGCAGCTGGAAGGGACAGAATTCCTCGGAGGAGGAGGAATCGAATCTGACGGTTTCCACTCCACTGCTGCTTAAGTGACTGGAAATATGCAAATAAGCCTCATCACCTATTGGCTATAAAATCATAAGTTGGGGGGAGGACTCTAAATTCACTTCCAAATATTTGAGCAAACTAGCGAGGCTCAACGGTGCCAGCAAGAAGCGGGGGAAAGGGCGGGAGGGAAATCTTGCTTGTGGTTTAAGCTCTGCTTTGCTTACCCTGAGGAACCTGCCCCCCCCGCCCCCCAGGGACTCCTGTGGATACACGGAGGAGGGGTTTAAGTATTCAACCATCAGTTTTCCGAGTGGAGGAAATTTTGCTCTTAAAAGACAGCTGCCCAACGCTTTGATTCCTTCTCCCTTTTGATGAATCCTCTTTGTTAAACTTAAGAGTTCTTTTCTACAGTACCGTTGCCCCATTCCTCCCCCACCCCTGCGCCCAAGGGACCTTATGACGTACACTGCTCAGCGCCCGGTGCTTTCACAGCCTGCTTTTTATCGTTGGCAATATGGATTTCCTTCTGTGGTAGAAGAACAGGCCCACTTGTGTTAACTAGTTTCTAATTTTGCCTTATGCAAATTGTACTCTTGTTTTCTAATTCAACAAGAAACGCAAGAATAACATTTGTCTTCAGAGGCAGAAGGTCATGGTCAAATATTTTAAGCTATACTGGGTTCTCCGTGGAAGAAGCCATTCTAAAAGGCACGCATTTTGCACCATCCCAAACCTACAAAGACAGGAAATAGATTAGTGATGGCCCAGGATGAAGGAATATGGAGCGCTGGGGGTTAGGGGGATGTAGAAATATTCTGATTCCATTATGATTGGCACTGCACAACTTTTTAGATGCATTAATATTGAATTGTACTCTGCATGGGCGAACACTGAGCTTTTTGCAAAGTGGATTAGGACATGTACGTAGAATGAGAAGAAAAATAAAGTCACATCCTATACTATGCCTGTCTGCCCCCAAAACGTGGAATATTTGCATCTTTTTAAATGAAGAGGATGCTGATTGGCTAGAAAGAAAGTAAACATTAAACACCCCACATTAAAGCTGAGAAGTCACCTCAGAAAATCAGAACCTCCAACAGGCTTTCTTTACTGATCTTGATATTTTTAATTGGCTGTCTCTCCGAAACACACACACACACACACACACACACACACACACACACACACACACTTACACAATAAGCTTCGATATAGGCCCACTTTTTAAGTTTTCTCAAAACTACAACATAAAAGCTGAACATGCTTTTCTGTAGATGAGTTCTGTCCCTCCCTCCTCATGTCTCAGTTTCTTATTTTGCACTGCAATCCTTAAACAGTGTATCATCCACATTCATTACCAGCTCCAAAGCTTGACAGCTGGCAAGAGTGAAACTCCACTGAACAACTTTGGAAATGGCAGAAGATAAGCCAGGGTGCATAACTAGAATTCAGCCAACCTCCAAGAGAAGTGTATAGGAAGCTCTAATTTTAAAATTCAACAGCGGAGTAAAAGACATAAAAACAGAAGTGCAGAAATACCTACTGCTTTATCTAGAATAGCCACACAGTCTAGTTTCAAATATAAATGTGATTTGATATGACTTCAAACCTACCTGTACCTCTGCCTGTAACTTTCAGAGAACTGCAAGCTTTTATAAGATTGATAAAGGGGATCCTGATGCTTATAAGGCATTTTCAAAACAATCTCTCTGGTTAACCAACCACAAAAAGTATTCCAGAATTGGACACACACACACACACACACACACACACACACACACACACTGCTGTTGCTAAGTGTGAACCTGGTTTATACTGGCCTGCATTGTCACTTTGCATGACCAGGCACAGGAATTTCCAGGAAGAGCTAACACAGAATTCAGCCTGGTAGGAAAAACAGACACATTGGCTCCTCTCCAGGGGACAAGTGGTGGGCAGGTGGGTGTGGCAGCCACACTCTGTCATGATTGGTTGCACTGGCCCTGGTCAGGTGCCTGCCTAGGCTCACATGAGCTCCTGGAGCAGCTCAGGATCCTGTGTGAATTCGTCGAGTCTGATGCCCAAACCTCCACAAGGTTATTTGGCCATGCATAGCTTGAGGCTCAAGAACTTTTTCTAAAATTGGCTTTTCCACTGTCATAGACTTTAAAAGGGTGTTTAAAGCTGAACATTTTTTCCCCTTAAAGTTGAACTTTTTTTTTTTTTGTTTGGTTGTTTGTTTGGTTTTTCGAGACAGGGTTTCTCTGTGGCTTTGGAGGCTGTCCTGGAACTAGCTCTTGTAGACCAGTCTGGTCTCGAACTCACAGAGATCCACCTGCCTCTGCCTCCTGAGTACTAGGATTAAAGGCGTGCGCCACCAACGCCCTGCTAAAGCTGAATATTTTTAAATGTTAACAAAGTAATATCCTTAGGGCAGTGCACTTTGGCACCTGCTATAGTCAAAAGTGATGTAAGTAAATTAGCCAAATATGTATAGCTTAAAGAACACAGAAGTTCCAGATGTAAGGAGGCACGGCCATCTATCTGACTGTGTCTGCATGTCATGGATTTGATTGATGGCCTGCTATTTGCACATTGGGCAATTTTCACCCTCTCATGCATTTAATGTTGTTAGTTATGACAGAGCTGACTGCTATTCCCATACTACAGACGGGAGAAAATGAAGCTCCTGGAAGATTAATTAACAATACCCTGAAATCACAGACTGTACTCCCTTTACTTTGGTGGTTCCAGGAGAGAAAGGTAATGTCTTTGTTAAATTTTAATATTTTAATTGCAAACCAGAAAAGGAAGCAGACTTTTCAGTCCATTAAGACTTTAGGTCAGATTTTCCTTGCTAAAAATGAAATGTGATGCGATGTGAAAACAAGGTTGAAAGAGTGTCAGCGCTAGGGTGGAGCTCAGAGCTCAAAATTCATTTAATATGGGGACAGTGTGGCTAACACAAATTAAATGTCCAACTACAAACTCGTAAATGTAAGAACATTTTAGGGCTGCAGCGATGACTTAGTGTCGAAGGACACTGGTTGCTCTTCAAGAGGACTTGGGTTTGATTCCCAGAACCCACACAGTGGCCCACAACCATCTAAAACAGGAGATCCCATGCCCTCTCTGGCCTCCAAGGGAACCCAGGATATGATGCACTTACACAGGCAAAACACCAATACACATTTTAAAAAATGTTTAAGTCCGCTTTAAATATGCCCAAATCAAAAACATCAACAGCAGCAACAAATCAAGATGTTTTCTAAAATTCGTCATAAGGGCTTTTCTGCCGTCACCTGCTCAGATAGTGGGGGAGGGGGGTAAACTGATCTGAGCAGCAATGGTGATCGATACAGGGGTGAGGGGGAGGGGGAACACAGTGGAGACCAGTAGCTATGAATCTGCTGGTGAGGGTGGGGCTCTTTTCTGGGCACCCAATAGGCAGAGGCTCTGACTGCAGATCCCACCTTAGCCAATCACTCTGTGGTGCTAGGCTGAAGAATCCCAAGGAATGTATTTCAGAAACACTAAACTCAGACAGAAGACAGTTTCTTTGTCAAAGCTGAGTGTTGAGACTGAAAGATGTCAAAGGGACAAATGAATAGTGTACTTGGCCAGTTTCCTACAAGCCTAGCCCCTGACTGTGTTTGATTGGAGTTACTGAGTGCGGTGTAGTGTGGCATTGCTTCAGACTGTGAAGTTACGGTATAAATGGTCTGGACATATCTTAAGGATTTTGTTTTTCTCGGGTTGTGGATAGTCAAACAATCTCCACTTCCTAAAGCAATAAACAGCCAACAATAATAGCAAATATATAGACATAAACACACACGTATATAGTAAGTTAAAATATCAGTACCTAGTTTTGTCTGAATGAAGAAGAAGAGTCAGTTTTTAAAAAGAGAACAAAGCTTTTCCCCAAAGCCAGTGTATTTTGATGGTCCTGTTGGCCAAGCCTGTGGGGTGGTGGAGGATGCAGACTTTCCTAGAAGACAGTTCATAAGAAATTGTTCACTATAAACAGTTTCTAGCCCATGTTCATTTATAATCAGATTCCTTTTCTAAAATACAAAATTAAAACAAAAATAAAAATTTAAATCTACCTAGGAGGTCTAGTTAATAATGGGAATACATGAAGTCACGAATGCTTTCCGCAGTGACATCACAGAGATAAAGTTAGACCCCACCCAACACCCTCATCAGCCAAGCTTGGCCTCACACAGCAAAGGAGGTGTTTGTACTGCCCCCTGCTGACTTCATGGTTACACTACCACATCTCAAAAATAAGTTTAGAACATATTTGATTTGATTTTTCTACATCTTTAATTTTGCATACAAATGAATGGATTTTTATAGAGTTTTAGTACAAATATACCATTATAATTTGCTCCAGTTTTTCTCCATTCCTGCTGCTCTCCCATTTTCCTTGCCCCCTTGCCTCTTATTAGTCTCTTCCCCCCTCAAATGGTGCCCCTTCTGCCTTCCTGTGTCATATATCCTATTACCCTCTTTTCCTCCATCCCCTCTTCCTTAAAGTCTCTTTATACCCTTTAATGATCTCCTTCCTAGGTTAATGATGTACACACACACACACACACACACACACACACACACACACACACACACTTAACGCTAGAGTCTACATTTCAAACAAAACGCGTTTGTCTTTCTAAGCATGGCTTATTTTGTTTAACAGAGATTTTCAGTTCCAACCATTTTCCTGAAAATATCATAAGTTCATTGTTTGCAGCTGATATTCTGCTGTGTGTGTGTGTGTGTGTGTGTGTGTGTGTACATCACATTGCAAATTTTACAGAAAATAAAGCAAATATGAGAATGAACAATATGTAGAATTCCAACTAAAAGAGCAGAGGATTTTATTGCCACAGTTCAAAGTGTAAACTCTTATACATGTGAAGGCAAGGGGAACACAACTTTGTTGGCAACCTTGTTAAAAACAAAACAAAACATGGTTCTTGCTCTATGTTTGAAATTTTGACATTGTCCTATCACAAATTCATTTTAAAAGATTGCT